AAAGGCTCATCCTCTGTGGGTTAGAGCGTCCCAAGGGAAGTGTCCTCTGTGCTCTCTCGGGGATAGTGGCCTCGTTAGATGTTTTCTGCCTTTTCTGTTTTGGTGGTACTGTATGTAAATATTTTACTTCTGTTTCAAAACAAGGCTATAGCTGTTGAACAACTTAAAACTTCCTATTTCTTCTGTGTGTCTGATGCCTTCTTGGCTTATGAGCTGATCCGTCCAGTAAAATGTGGTATTTTGAAGCAAATTAGAGGATGGGAAACAACTGACATGGTTATACCTACTGTTACACCTAATTAGGTTCTTAAGCCGATGAGGCAGCCTCACTAAAGTCCAAGATTTAGCAGGAAGCTCCTGTTTTACAGCGGGCAGCTGCTGGCTTGATACCTGAGCAGTGATGGTTGGTTAAACTCTTCTCAGGCAACACTTCCAGAAGGCAGCTCAGGAATACAAGTAGAGATGTTCTGTGGCTCAGCTCCTAGCACTGCTGACATTAAATCTGTGCCACGGTTTCCCTACCGTGCGTTTGTGCATCAGTTCTGGAGTACACTGTACCTTTGTTCTGTCTTTGTCAAAACACACGTACAACAGGGAAGTTGCATCTACAAACAGTAGTAGTGAGCACGACAGTGGGTTAAGAGCAGAAAACACTGGGTATCAGTGTCAGACACCCAGCTAATGGATTGGCTGCTAAACTTGATGCGTTTTAAGTCACTTAGAGCCGTGTCCTGATGAATGAGAACAGTGGCAGGTGAGTTCCCTCTGACACAGCCTCTTTGGTCTGGCACGTGGCACTGCAAAGTCCTGCGCCAGGAACAGTGCTCCAGGGTGGTCCCCGTGGGCAATGCACATCTTGACTTTTGGGAGGCTTTGAACCAAGCCCTTCAGAAATGAGAGGAAAACTCAAAAAGCTTCAGTGTTTTGCTTGGGAAGCTGCTGCTTCCATGTATTGTTTTCCTCTTGCAGCTGGCAAAATATTTCCGTATAAAAGAAGTGTTTCTTCTAGCCTCCTGCTCCTCCTTTTGGCTTTGCCTAAAGCCTGGCACTGCAGCTGCTTTCACAGCAGTACCTTCACAAACACACAGCTGAGGTGTTGCTGCAAAAGTCAGACAGGAAGGGGCAGTGCGGAGGAGATGGTGTGTTAAAGCTAGGCGAGATAACACAGAAGAAGGTTCAGGGATGGTTTGGTAGGTGGCTTTGGTCTGGTTATGGTGCCAGTGTTTTGCCAGGGCATCTTCTCTCTGAAGGGAAAGCTCTTGCAGCAAGCGTGGGCTGGTGGGGTTGTTTCCCAGGCTCGCTGGCTGTGAACTGTGTGTCTCTGGCATCCCCCGGGTTCCCTGAGCCCTTACTCTGCAGGTG